AGTAGTCCATACATAACTTTATATCTCCATTTCCTATATTCAAGGAATTCTCTATCTGTTAGTTTCTGTAGCCTTGCCCTATAATCAGACATTCCACATTCAGTAAACAGATGCTGTTCTGACTATTCTTTCCCGAGTCCGGTTTATGCCGTGTGATAAAAAAATTGTGATTGTGGGACCCGAACGCCTGCATGCTGACACTCACGGAAAGTCGGTACAACAAGTAGATATGCAAACACGGGTTTTGCCCCAATTTTCAGAGAACACCTACGTGGTCCGCCCAATTCTAAAAGTAATCCTGGCTTCTAAACTGATGTTTTTACTTATGGGAGGCTACTTTGTTGCTTGGCAATAGGGCAAAAAGAATCTGGAAGCATTTTTACGCTAATGGCAAGCAAAGAGGAGACTCGAAAATAGATCATGGATTTTAGACTGGTTAGTAGACTAACTTTTAACGATATCCCAGTCAATAAGAATGGAAGTGAGCTGGGTAGGGATGCGTATACGAAGTCTATGATTATAAACTGTTACGAAATCGTTTATTATAACGAGGCTGCGAGTAGCCGAAGTAATACACTGGAACCAGAAAATGTAATCCACGACAAACACTGGGTCATAGCAATTATCTGTTACGACCAAGTGAAAACTATGTTATATCAAAAGAAAAACAAATAAATAGAAAGCAATCAGATAACCCTATTCACTTTCTGATGTTGCCCTATTTTAGACTTTGACAAAAAAATACGTAAAATATGGCGCTAAACGAAGGTTTAGAGAGGGACCCTAATCTTGGTCATAAGTTATTTTCGCTCATTTTTAGGCCCTCTCTCCAGATCTGGCTACTAGAAAGCGCTGTGCACATGCGCTAGTTTCTATGTGGGCGGAGGCCCGTCGACCAATTCAGAAGTCGTAATTTGAACACAAATCCACCTGCAATACGTTGTTGGTTCCGAATTGATAATTATTTAAACCAATTTTAAACATAGGACACTGTTGTGAATATGGAGGCCTTCCAGCTAAGCGGTTATAAATAGAAGTTATCATAACCACTAACGTCTCGGTGAGAAGCAAGGACTCTTATTGTTGCATAGGGGCTCTGTTGACGCATCAGAAGTGCGTACACACATGACATGTGCAAGCACAGATGTATGCCGTACAGGATCAAACTAGACGGGATTATGACAAGGAAACAGACTTTCCACCATAGCCACATTGACCTCAATCCGCTAAAAACATGTAGACATAACAAATAACTAGTCCTTTAAATCATGGTTTGTCTAATGAGGACAGCAAAATTAGCTACAGTTATGCTTTGGCTAAAGAATAATTTGGTACACCGTTGATGCATGTTGCGATAGTACAGATACCGGCTCTGCATGGTTGAATTGGTATCACACAACGGTGTGCCGGAAGGAGCTACGCTTAAAACAACAGCCACACCTGCAAGCTCGAAACCCTCCGCACATATTTTCCGACCAACTGAAAGGTCCAACGTTATGAATTCCTTAAAACTCAAATGTTCTTCATTATCGCAAAACTATGGGCCAAGCACGATAGACTTTTGATATCACCTACACCTCCAGGCTGTGTGCAATTTTTGCATTACCCCAAAATGACTCATTGTCTCTGAGAATATTGGGTCTTATCGAGGACTTGCTCATCCAGCTCCGTCGACTCAGAAATCTCTGACCCTGCCTCAAGTTGGCGGGGTTGGTGTGAAAGTTGTGCTTGACGAGTCAAAGCCAAAAAGAGGGTACAGCTTTCGAGCATGCCACAAATCAGGTGTGGGCAGTTTCTGTGCCCAAAACCGGGAACCGTGCAAAGGGGCAAAAGGAAAGCTATCCCGGCTCGCAGTTTCACACAGTCCCCGACTGTCGGACTTGACGAGTTATTTCTCGAGGCTGAGTTTATTCAATTCATTTGTGCCAGTCTGAGACCATTTTGGTGTATGATTGCTGATGCACTCGCTCATCCTCCACCCAAAGTGCGGCTCTGCCACAAACCTGTGGAACTTTCCTTACGTGAAATTGGCGCAGTAGCATCGGTTTACTGTGGCGTGAGAAATTGGGCTGAGTATTAATGTGCGAATGAGTCTAGGCTCGTGATGGAGTGCCACAACGAAATCAGCCACATTCCAAAACACCCACCTCAGAGAAGTCATTTTCTATTGAGACTAGCCAAAAGAGGCCCTCTTGTCGGCCAAAATGGTCAAGAGCATCTTTACTATTAACATCTATAAAACCTACATTCTTTCTCCTTTACTCATTTTTACCATTCAATGACGTGTTGACTCATGCAAGGATCGGGGAGCCGAAGCCTCGATGGATAGAAGTTCGGAATAAATTTGTGTGATTTGGTGTTTTGCTTGCCGAAATTCTGAAATAAAATCCATTTTACAATTGATACATATCCTCGTTTACCAAATGCCTGCGTAGTTAGGACAAGTGTTTTCGTAACTTGACATACATGCTTACAAACTCATTTCTCATTATCTCAATCATACTTGCTTACGGACTTACGCAGTCTCCGTCAGGGCTTTCTTTGAGGTCATTA